ACTCTTTGTGACCCCATGGACTGCAGCACGCCAGGCCTCCCTGTCCATCACCAACTCCCAGAGCTTGCTCAAACTCATATCCATTGACTCGGTGATGCCATCCAACAATGTCATCCTCTGTATTCCCCTTCTCCTTCTGCCTTCATCTTTCCCAGTGTCAGGGTCTTTTCCAGTGAGTCAGTTCTTTGCATCAGGTGGCCAAAGTATTGGGACTTCAGCTTCAGCATCAGTCCTTCCAATGAATATTCAGGACTGATTTCCTTTAGGATGGACTGGTTGGATCTCCCTGCAGTCCAAGGGACTCTCAAGAGTCTTCTGCAACACCACAGTTCAAAAGCATTGGTTCTTCAGTGCTCAGCTTTCTTTACAGTCCAACTCTCATATCCCTACATGACTACCAGAAAAACCATAGCTTTGACTAGACAGACCTTTGTAGGACCTTTTAACTGATTAGATGACTCAATAAATTAAAAGAGAAAAATTCAAAACAGTTGGTCAGTGACATGAATGATAATGATATTCAGTGACAAGATAATAATAAACCAAATGGCTAACAAAGTTGAACACAGTTTTCTATGTAGTAAGTGCTTTAAAATACTATGGTCATTGACATTTGAAAAGAATTCCGTCACATAGTTTGTTCTTTATCTAGTTGAATGCACAGCTTTTAATAGAGAGGATCACTGTGATTATCATGACTGCAGCTCTCCAATGCTAATCCAGCTAATTGAAGACTTGGTGATGGCAGTACTTGTGGAGTTATTCACTGCTTTATTTTCAGCCTTTCTTTGTGTAATGAGTTACTCATCTCAATTTCCCTTTTTTGTTCCATGTACTCATTTTTAAGTAAAACACATTGTTTGTTTTTCTACTAGAAATATTCAAAAAGTGGAGGGAAAAAAGCAATTACTACCTTGGTGGCACTCAGCAATAAAAGAAAAGTTTGCACACTTTCTCCACTTGAATACATTCAGCATTTTTCTTAAAATTAACTCCCACTCTGTTCCCTGAACTATACTCTTCAATGAACGTATAACTTGCTGTATGTTCTGTTTCTCTTGGTAAGTAGAACCAGAGACTTGTTCAAAATGCTGACAGCACATTAGCTCAGACATATAGAGACAAACTCTGAAGACTGTAAGTTTTCTCCTCCACATTGTTTTTCTAGGCATCTGTCAAGAGGGAATGAAAATGAGTAAGGCTTGGAGCAGTGTTCACATCTTGCCATTCATGCTCTGCATTTTTAAACGGAGTCCACCTTTATTAGGTTACGGTTGGCTATTAATGGAGAGGGTTTGCGTTTAATTCTATCTGCTACGTGATTGGAGCTATCGGCAAAGAACATCTTGGTGGTACACAATGAGACTATAATTTTTCGGTATTCCTGCCTGAAATTTTGGTTCAGTAGTCCATATATGATCGCATTGAGGCAGCTGTTGAAATACGCCATATAGTAACTGGCCACAAACAGCCATTCGGGGATCCTGGGTGCCATGCTGGCGGGGTCGGAGGCCACAATGAGACCAATGAAATTCAGAGGAGCCCAGCAAATGGCGAAGAGGACAAAAACCACAAACATGGTGACAAAATTCCTGAAGTCCTGGGGCTTCAGCTTTGGCTTGTTGTCGGGTTTCACCCTCCATCTGACCTGAAGAACCAGGGCCCAGATCCTCAGGTAACAGAAGATGACTACGAGCATCGGGACGATGAAATGGAACACCACCACGGCGATCGTGTAGGCTGAGCTGACAGACTGCGTGAAGGTGCAGGAATAGACCCTCGGGTCATACTGCAGGGTCCCCACACACAGGTTGGGCATGATCGCCACGAGCGTCAGCATCCAAATCAGGAACACGCAGCAGAGGGAATTTTTGCTGCTGTACAGTCTGCCATATCTGAGGCTGTGGCAGATGTAGCAATAGCGGTTGATGGCAATTCCCGTGATGTTGAAAACGGACCCGATGACGCTCAGGCCCATCAGGAAGCCACTGAGTTGGCAATGCAGGGAGCTCAGGCTCCACCCATTGTTAACTACAGATGCCAGCGCCAAGGGGTAGGGATACACGGCCCCCAGCAGGTCTGCAACTGCCAGGCTCACCACAAACACATTCCCTAAAAGAGAAGGGTTTAGAAAACATGGGTTAGGGCCAGTTTCACATGGGTGTACATGCGTTTTCTTTCACAGGTATTCGAGAGAGAGCTGTGTCTGCAGCTCGGATGACCCCACATCACAGTTACTGAAAGAAAGTGAAAAGTGTTGATCACTCAGTCGTGTCCAACTCTCTGCGACCCCATGGACTGTAACCCCATCAGCTCCTCTGTCCATGGGATTTTCCATCAGGAGTACCAGAGTGGGCTGCCATTGCCTTTGTGGTTAGGGCCAGTTTCACGTGGGTCGCATGGGTTTTCTTTCACAGTTTTTAAAAAAGAGCTGGGTCTGCCACTTGGGGGACCCGACATCACAGCTTCTGGCACACTCTAAAAGAAGTGGAAGCCGTTTCCCCAGGAACTGAACTCTTTGTTGTCCGTATCAGATCAACTCCAATGTTCCCAAGCTCCCAGATTCCCCAAACAATGCATGTTCCATGGTCAAAACTGTTCTCTTTTTAACTCTTTGGTTTCTCTTGTGCTTTAAAAAAAATAATAATCTTGAGTTCAGGATACTCCCATCACGTCTTTTATTCTGGAATCGTCTACATTATCTGAGAAACCTCATATTGCATTTTTATTTTTTCTCAAGCCAGTCAGGACTTCCCTAAGTTCCAGGCCTTTTATCTCTAACTCTTCATAGGTTCTCACACTCCTGTTCCCGGACAACAGAGCGCCCTCGTCCACAGCATAGTTATGAGAAAAAGCATCCCGTTATCAGCGGCTAGGTTAGAATGTTGGCTTTGCCCCTTACTAGCTGTCTAACTGGGGCAAGTTACAGTATCACATAAAACTTCAATTTCCTCTTCTGTAAGTGGGGATAATGATGGCATTGTCTTTGCAGGGTATGTCGAGGACTAAATGAGGCCGTCGCTGTCAAGTACTGGGCAGTGCCTGTCACATGATAGCTGATTGGTAAATGTTCTATAACTCTCTCACCTCAATCCAAAGGAAAAGGGAGAAATGAATGCTTTTAGATTTTATAAACAACTTAAGGTAGAAAAATTAAACTCTAGATAATCAGGGTAAGTAACAATCTTATATGAACACAATAATTCAACATATTTTAAAGTTTAAGTATATTCTAGTCAAATTTTACAAGCTCTTTTACAAGTATATTAAAGTAAGTCCCCTACACATGAACAAGTTCTGTTCTGAGAGCATGTTCTTAAGTCCAATTTGTTTGCAAGTCCAACATGGTTAGCCTAGGCACCCAACTAATAGAATTGGCTATATAGTGCTTTACTGTAATAGGTTTATGACACTTTTCACACACATAATACATAAAAGTGCTAGTCAGTCATGTCTGACTGTTTGTGACCCCATGGACTGTAGCTCTGTCAATGGGGTTCTCTAGGGGTGAACAGTGGAGTGGGTTACCATTCCCTTCTCTAGGAGATCTTTACAGGCAGATTCTTTACCATCTGAGCCACCAGGAAAGCCAAAATACATAAAAAAGAAACATAAAAGGAATTAAACATTTTAAATCTTACAGTACTTGAAAAATACAGTAGTCCAGTACAACATCTGGCACACAGGGGCTGGCATCAAGCGAACAGGCAAAAAGAATTACCAACAGGAGGGGGAGAGGAGGCGGGAGATGGTAAGGCTGATTGTCAGCAGGAGGTGACGGAGGGCAAAGCTGCAATTTCACTCACGCCTGATGTGGATGGCACAGGTTCTGGTTCCTTGCTGGATTCAATTCTATCTCCCCTCTTGAAAAAACCGATCCTGTGATGTCTGGATAGTAGCTCTTTTTATTCTCATGATAGATGACAGAGTAGTGCTGAATCGCATTGTGGAAGAAAGGTGGCCACAACCTTTGTGGACCATTCTATGTTCAGGTCCTGTGTCTCCAAAGCTATCAGTGCCTCCTCAAATAGAACTAACTTAGGTGACTGGACATGTGAATGCATGTTGACAGCTTTGAAAGTTTGCCACTTGAAGGCTCGTATGTAGGGGACTTACTGCATTTACTTTTGTGGTTTGTTTTACTATGCTTCGGCCCTGAGCAGCTCCTCCCCTAACTTTTCATTGCTCCCCATCCCTCCCAGTCTGTGTTAAAAGAAATGCTTAGAACCGTCACTGTTTGCCCAACCACATGGAAGGGCATTCTCTTTTCAAGGTTCCTAAATCACTTTATTTTCACAACTTTCAATTTAGGTTAATGTTGTAATAAATTCCATTCAGTAAAAATGTATTAAGGGCATAGGTTCTGGGGAAATGGGAATGAACAGGCAGAATTCCTCCGACCCTCGACCTCAGAAAAACAAACACAATTTAAAAGAGAAGGAAGAAGTACAACATAAGTACGTACAGAAGACGAGACAGAGAAGAAGGGAGGGGGGCTGGACAGAGTGGGAAGAACATTTCAGGCAGACTGGTGTGTGTTCTGCTTTGATTACACTTACTTGCAAACTTGGCTTTCTTCTGTTTCTACACTGTAGTCCCCTGAGATCGTCTGCCTGATATTTATATCCTGAATAGTACCCAGCTGAGACTTTTGCTCTAATGTTTGAGGAAATAAATTAAATTGTCTTCTCGCAACATCTGAAATAAAATAACCTTTGCGAGATTTCTGCCTGAAAAATTTTATTTCATCCTGAAAAATGCTGCAAAGAAGTGAAGTAAAAAAGCTGCAGGGACTAAAAAAGTAAGTAGGAATGCAAGTAGGAATTTCAGATAGATTGTCATGAAAACAATTTTCTTTGAAAATTGGTTATACTGAGCCAAATTGAAGCCGTAAAAGCAAATTTATTTTCCCCACAGTTCAATTTCAATTACCAATGAAATGTTTAAATTCTAACGTGGGCATATTTCAATAAATTTTTTGACTCAGCATGTTTAATACCTTAGAAATGAGTAGAATATATGAAACTCAGCTACAAATTAAATTCTCATCAAAACAGTACATTTTTACCCAGAATGTTATGATGACAAATGGACTTGAAATAGATTTTTTTTTAAGTTTTAAAATAAGATAATAAGTGATGTCACAAATTTCTTTCATGGCTTTAATCCTCTGCTCCATTTATTTTATAGTGATTATGCTTCTTTTCTATTCAAATAATTACCATAATCAAATGATTCATTTTCTTTTCTTTGAAAAGATCCTAGTTTACAAGTGGAGAAGAAAGAATGAAGCCATAGATTCTATGCAGATGTTGTTGTTGGGGAGCTCAGTTAGAGGCTATGTCACAGCTGCAGAGTGTGTGTGTGTGTGTGTGTGTGCGCGTGTGTGTGTGTGTGTGTGTGTGTGTGTGGTATGACAGGGAAGAGGAGGAAAGATAGTTCCTATTTTTCATTTAAGAATGCTACCAGATGAGAGTAATCACAATTAGACACCTTGCAAGGTCATTGCTTCCATCTCAGCTCTGGGTAACTCCAGATAGATACAACCTATCTGCTTTTACAGACATCTAAGAGTCTATACAACCAGCATAACGATGCACTCTGAAATTTAAAATAATCTCTGTTAATGGCTTACTGGGTTCCAGTCCTTCCTCCAAGGTCCAAGTGTGACCCCACTCTCCCTCTTGACATCCATCTTTTCTTCTCAACTGCTTTGTCTGTGAACTTCAGGCTTGGAATGCTTAATTTTATGTGTCAACTCGACACTATCTTGGTACATGTGGTTAAACATTTCTGGGTGTGTCTCTACGGGTGTTTCAAAAAAAGTACACTTGAATCAGTAGACTGAGTGAAGTAGAGGCCCTCCCTAGTGTGGATGGGCAATCATCCAATTCATTGAGGGCCTAAAGAAAACAGAAATTTGAAGGAAAGGAGAACTTGGCCTTGCTGGCTGTCTTACTGAGCTCGGTCTTCCCCTGATCTTGGACTGGGACTTTTGCCTTAGACACTCGAAGGTCTTCAGGCTCAGACTAGAACTCTGCCCTGGCTCTTCTGAGCCTCCAGCTTCAGATGGTAGACTGTGGGATGCCTCAGCCTCCACAGTCATGTGAGCCAACTCTTCATGATAAATATAGCATCTTTAATGTATATAAATGAAACGCATTCATCCCTGAAAATCTGATGAGTGCTGGATGCTTCCATCCACTGCAGCTGTGCCCTTCTCCAGGGAAATGCCCTTAGTGGATCAATGAATGACCAGCTGACCCTAGAGCACAAAGGCCAGCCCTTCTGCCTCGAGTGGTGACAATCACATGGTTGGATTTCCTCCCAGAGGCCTTGGCCTCAAGGTCAGGCCAAGTCTAGGCTTCACCCGCGCCCCCACCCTTGCCTGACTCTTTCCCGGCCTGGTCTCCTTCCCTCACTTACTTCTGCTCCCTCCTGAGTGCACACTTTCTACAAAGCATGAGCACCGAACCTCTGACCTTGTTCTCAAGCTCGGCTTTTAGGCAAAATAAGACAGACCTTCAGCTCTACGATGAGTCTGGGTGGTTTTTCGAAAGATGTCACCAGCTTCTCGGTGCAAAAAGAGGAGCTAGTTGCTATGACATCTTACAAACCAACCAACCAGCCTCTTTGGGCACAAGTTATAGACTCTGAATGCTTCTCAGCATCACTCTTCAATTCTTTCATCCTCACTAGGAATGGACATGCTTCCTACATCTCCCCTCCACCTGTGCGTGGAGGTCTGTCTTCCTCTAAGACTATTTGAGATTCAGGACCGTGCGAAAGAATCTTTCAATCCTCCCTGACAGCACAGTGCCTGGCATATAACGTACCAAGAACAGTCTCCTGGATGAGCTAATACATCCCTGGTCTCTAAACAACACCTGTCCAGAGCAGAAATTGCATGCTCTTACCTGCCCAAATTTGGGTTTCTCAACAAACCAATATTCATTCCTTCTTTCATTTTCAGCCTGGACTTCACCCATGTGCAGAGCACAGTTAGAGACTCACTGAATTCATTGCTCATGAAGATTTTTTTTAATGCCCCACCCCCCAAAAAAAACCCTGCTGTGCCTGGACTTTAACATCAAACTGGTAAAGATCAATTTAAATGTGGGAGAGGGGGAAATGAGCTTCAGCGACTCTTGGAAACATTTTTTATTTGTTTCAGCAAATCCATAGACTCAGCTCTGAGAAATCTGGTTTTAATGAAGAGTCTGTTTATAAACCTGGATGATATAAAAAAAATTCCATGTGCATATTAAACATTAACGGTAGGACAGGGAAAAGTGGAGATGTTGAAGGTGATAGGGTGCAGTGCAGGGAATGCAGAAGGGCTTATTTTGCACATCAAAGCACACCGGCCCTGTCTTACATTCTTGAACTTCAAAGGACAGTATCTCAGAAATGTGTCTTTTTAGATTATCAGACGGAGTGTGGACCAGATGCTCAGAAACAAGCCACATCTGAGTTCGAATCCTGACTATGTCGCTTGCTAGAGGACCTTGGGTAAATCAGAGCCTCAGTCTCTTCATATGTAGTAAGTCACGATACTAATGGCCATGGTGAAGATGCAAGAGAATGCAGGGAACGTGCTTGGCATGGGATAAACACGTGTTCCTTACTTCTCCTTGGCTGTGGTGGAAACAGCCTTCAGCTTCATAAAAGGTGGCTCCCCGGGGCAGACGCATGCCAGGGCTGGAGGAAGCGTCTCTTTTGCCCTGGCTCTTGCCTGGATCCCTGTCACCTTGCAGGGGCCTACTCCAGGCAAATAAGCCTGCTTTTCTTTTTTAAAAATTTCTTCTTGGCTGCACTGGGTCTTTGCTGTGGTGTGCTGGCTTTTCTCTTGTTGTGGAGCACGGGCTTAGTCGTTCTGCAGCGTGTGGAATCTTCCTGAATCAGGGATCGAACCCGTGTCTCTCTCCTGCATTGGGAGGTGGATTCTTAACCACTGGACCACCAGGGAAGTCCCCAAACAAGCCTGCTCTTACCCTCCTGTCCCTCCGGCTATCAGCCTCTCCCGCTCCACTCCAATTTTTCAAGCAAGGCTGACCCCTCTATTTCCTTTCCACCAATTTTGAATTCACGTTCTAGAATACCTGGGTGCTACTCACACCACGTTGCTCAAACTTCTCTCCAGTCATCAGTAACATTCTTCCTGACCCCTTCTCTCAGCCTTCATCCTCCTTAAAGTCTCTGAAACATAACACCCTGTTCCTGGGAGACCTGTCCTTAGACTACCTTGCCTGAATAGTAGAAGATGCTATTCCTACAATACATGACTGCGGGTGAGGACAGCTTGGCTCTCTGGCCACCTCCGTCCTACTTCCTTCCTGGGTCTTCAGTCTCTTTCTCTGTCACACTGCACCTCCCCATTCTGCCCCTTAATTTGGCCATGACTCCCTAACACTGTGAACACAGATGACGATTAGCTGGTCTTAACTGTTAGATAAACACAGCCTCTATACAATAAAAGAGACTAAGAACACCATAAGGAGCTCAACATAAAGTAACACAGTACAGAAATGCACCACTGCACATCACCTATGTGTAAATTAAAAAAACAAAAAAGAACTGGAGAAAAAAAGGTAATACACCTGACCCTCTTGCCCTAGCTCAATTTTGAGCCAGTTTTTAAAGGTGTGAAATCTTGCTTAAGGATTCTGCTTATTTTCTAGATCTGGTCATTCTCTTCTTAGAAGGATGGCTTAGGGAGACACCTGTAATATGTAAACACCCATATTATGGCCGTATTGATCTAGTCTTTCATCTCTACACTGACTACAAATTACTCATGTCTGCACTATTTTTTATATCACAGAATGAAGGATGAAACTTTAAAAACAGAAATGGAATACTTGGACCACATTTTAAAAAAGGCAATCAAGAAACTCTATTAACTCTACTTGATGTGTGTGTGTTAGTTCAGTTGTGTCTGACTCTTCGCAACCCCATGGACTGTAGCCTGTCAGGCTCCTCTGTCCATGGGATTTTCCAGGCCAGAATACTGGAGTGGATTGCCATTTCCTTCTCTGGGGGATCTTCCTGACCCAGGGATCGAGCCCATGTCTCCTGTCTTCTGCATAACAGGAAGATTCTTTACCCGCTGAGCCATTGGGGGTAGTCTTTATTTCCTTAGACACCTTTCCCAGTTTTGAAATGCCAGGGAAATGCCAGCTTTAATAGTCAAAATAATGCCATTTAATAACATCTCTATTTAATTAGAGAAGAACTCTGAATTGCTAAATTAATTTTTAAAAATCCTGTCAATATTAAAACTGGTGGGACTTCCCTGGTGGTCCAGTGGTTAAGACTCTATGCTTCCAATGCAAGGGGCACAGGTTTGATCCCTGGTCAGGGAACTAAGATTTCACATGCCACACAACGTGGCCAATAAATAAATATTAGAAATGGTACAATCATATTATTGCCCTTTTTATATGCTAAAATTAAATGAGGAGAAATAAAAAATGTTAACAGTACAGAAGTATAAAATAAGATTCTCATAAAACTAAGATTTACAACTTCAAAATTTGGTTCTTTATGTACTTAGAGAATATTTTAAAAGCATACATCTATATAGTATATGCATGATATATATAGACATATATATATATGTTACATGTAGCAACCTTTTTAAAAAGCTTGTTTGGTAAAATAATGAGAATAACTGAAAGTACTTCAAACTCTAAATAGAGGAAATAATTAATGTAAGCTAGTAGAATAAGTCAAGTAAGTAACAAAGGGCACAAATGAAATTAAAACTTAAAAAAAAACTAGCAAATAAAATTCTTAAAAGTATACATTAAAATGTAAACCAAATCTTAAAATTAATTAACTGGAATAGTGTTTGTTTTGCCAAAGGATTATGTCCCAAGCTCCGATATTATCCTAGACTTGGCACCTAGGAGACACCCAACAAGTATTTAAGTAAAGAAAAAAAAAGAAACTGAATGTATGAAAGATAAAAGTACATTATCCCTTTCTGGATCACAAGAGAGTTTTGTATTCCTAAGTGTTACAGAAAATTATATAAGAGAAAATACAAATCATTGACTATAAACATTTATTATCTTCCATTTAATAGATGCATGAGAAAATTTTTATGAATTTAAGTTAGCAGGTTGGTCCTCGAACCTTTCCCAATAGGTATTTCTTCAGGCTATATTAATTTCTTCACAAGATATGGGGCCAATATATTGTCCTCAAAGCTCTGCTTTTGTCTCTATTCTTGACTCTTACTATTATTGACTCTATTGACGTTCTCTCATTGATTTGCCCTTAAAGGAAAGTTCACATTTCCCTATTTATTATCCTCTCTTCTTTCATCCTGAGGTAACACTTTTAAAAATGCTCATGACTACTTTAAGCTCCAGCTATTACCTACCAATCAACTTGAAAAGTTTTCCTGTTATATAACTTTTATATTCTGAGTCTTACACCTTTATACTCCATGTTTTATTTTTATTAAAAATAAAAGAACAAAATTTTAAAGGTACCTTGATTGCAGCCATGAAATTAAAAGATGCTTTCTCCTTGAAAGAAAAGCTATGACCAACCTAGACAGCATATTAAAAAGCAGAGACATTACTTTGCCAACAAAGGTCCATCTAGTCAAGGCTATGGTTTCTCCAGTAGTCATGAATGGATGTGAGAGGTGGACTATAAAGAAAGCTGAGCGCCAAAGAATTGATGCTTTTGAACTGTGGTGATGGAGAAGACTCTTGAGAGTCCCTTGGACTGCAAGGAGATCAAACCAGTCAATCTTAAAGGAAATCAGTCCTGAATGTTCATTGGAAGGACTGATGCTGAAGCTGAAACTCCAATACTTTGGCCACCTGATGCAAAGAGCTGACTCATTTGAAAAGACCCTGATGCTGGGAAAGATTGAAGGCAGGAGGAGAAGGGGACGACAGAGGATGAGATGGTTGGATGGCATCACCGACTCAATGGGTATAAGTTTGAGCAAGCTCTGGGAGTTGGTGATGGACAGGGAAGCCTGGCGTGCTACAGTCCATGGAGTCACAAAGAGTTGGACATGACTGAGCAACTGAACTGAGAGAAGGTAATCTGTTGAAAATAGGAGCTGTGTTTTACATATGC